AGGTTCATGAATTTCAGAAAAATTACGAGAAACATCATGAAGTTCCGGGAATTTTCAGAAAGCCTAGAGAACTCCTGAGAAGTTTAGAAAAGTTCAGATATATTTCAGGAACTTAATAAAAATCCATTTATTTTTGGGAAAAATTCATTCATTTCAGGCCAATACCAAGAACTTCAGGAAATTGCGAGAACTTCAAGCCAGTCAACCCCCCGTCTCGATGATTTTCATTGCCTCCCACTGGTCAATCAACTGATCCATAACTGGGACCAGGAGTAATCTTCTCACAATGAATGATCTTCTCAAAATAATGAAAATATTTAATTTTTCCGTTATATGAATTAACCGTTTAGTCAAGCTTATGCATTCATTTTCCATCAGATGTCATTGCTGTAGTTTGTGGTGACATCTACGGAAACTTTACATAATCTGTTTTCAGTCAATTTTTCACAGATGACAGTGCAGCGCAAAGCATGTCTGGTAGTTCTTTATATATATATTTTATACATATTCAAGCATACATCCGAAGTCCCTCCTATTTTGCATATCCTACAAAAAAAACTTTTTAAGTCCCGCCTCTTACAGGATTTCCTGCTGATTTTCATGAATGAGTGAGGCTTCGAATGTACTTTTTGTGCAGAATATATTTAAAAAATTGGGCTTCGAATGTTAATTTAAATGCATCTATAGAGGTACCTGACCCTGCCATGTTTTGCAGTATCAGCTAAAGTGTACTCTATTTTGTAGTTTGTGAGAAGGAAATCACGAATCGAAGGTCATCAAAACGTTGTGCAATTTAGCTCGTGAAAGAGAATTTTCTGTACCAAATTTGAACTTTTTGACTCTCTTAAATTTAAATTTATGGCTTCATGGGAACAATATTTTATTTTATAGAAGCAATAATTTTCCGGAAAAAAAACTAAGGGACAAAATCCATTAAATTTAAAGTTGTCTTCACCGTTTTTTTTTGTTTACTTGAATATGCATCAAACGCATAGTATTCCCACTGTTGCGGCACTTGGCAACACTGTGTGAATGAAACAGGGTAATGTTAATTTAGCGTGCGTAAGATCCACCCACCTTGTGCGGATCACCTTGTACGGATCACTTTGTGCGGATCACTTTGATCGCATCGCGCAAACGTCAAACGAAGGATGGAGAAAAATAATAGACGAAAACATTAGTGTGAGAAAGATTTTATTACGGCCATTGCTTCGAAAAATAGTGGTTACGCGGTGAATAGTTGCTCTTGGTGAACTTGAAAATAGAATTAGAATTAGTGATCAACAGTTGAATTCGGGTTGAAGAAAATAGTGAAGGTGAAATATAAATTGAATATCAAATAGAAAGAATATTAACATAAATTGCATTTAGTTTGCAGATAGGTGCGGGAGAGAAAGAGCTTGAATAGTGATAGCTAGGAGTGAAAACTATTCATGTATGTTATGTGAAACAAAAGGTTACGATGAAATTTAAGTAAACCTTATATTTCAGTTTTGAGCTGCAACAACAAAAAGCTGCTTAAAAAAAATAGTTTGAGATCCGAAAGACCCACTTTTAAAAATGTCTAAAGGGGGATTGTTATTACTTAGTGCCAATGGAACAGCGTCATCTGTGCCAAAATTAACCATGATTAAATGATTTACGGCTTAGCGACTTGCAGTCAATTTAATTGTTTGTAAGAAAGTTTGAACATACTGAGAGGTAAGTGCACACCACCGGTAAGAGAAGTGTGTGTGAGAAAATTTGCCAAAAAATCTAAGGGCACCGGTGGGATTTTAACCCACAATCCCCATTCAGTACACGGGTGAATTGCCAATTATACAACGATGGACCTATATGGTCTATGGATGTATTTGACTAATGACATTTGAGTTTCGAATGATATGTGCTTACCTCTCAGTATATTCAAACTTCCTTACAAACATGATTAAATGATTCATTGATAAATCTCCCCTCAGCTTGAAAAATAAAAGTGATCAATGATTGTGATTTGAGAAATTTCTGGAATTTCATGCTGTTCGCTCAAATCAAATAATATAAGTGAAATCCTTTGTTGATCACAAGTTAACATCTTAACTTTCATACGCGTTGAAACATTGGCGTCTGATCATTTCTTCAAGTCAATCGATCCAGTAGGACACTTTTCATAGATTTCGATAAAATTATGATTTATGTTATCTTTATTACGGTTATTTTCAGCCCAACGGAAAATATTGTTTTTTTTTTGTAGTGTACCAACAGCATACCATAGCGTACTTTCAAGAATTTTGAACGTACCTCTTCTATTCCTTGATTAGGGTGCCCTGCTGAGATGGGTGATTTTTTGAAAATCTTCTTTTAACCTTCCAAAACTTTCCCTAATTTAGTACTAGTAAATTATTTTTAAATAATACATTCATAATCCAAACTCGTATTGTTAATAGCGCTTGATGCGCTGATCTAGAACAATTTTGCAATTTTATCAAAATCCAAAAAACCATCAGACTGCTTCGTGGGTATTCAAAACCATTCACCACATCAAATATACCATGTAAATCAAATAGTTTACCACAAATCCCATTTGGTGTGCTCTACAGTGCCAGCATAATATTGAACTGATCAAAAGTATTCCACACCTGCTCCAAAACACAGTGGTCGGAGATGACAATACCACGAACTCTTTTGAATTGTATATAAACTATTGACTAAATCAAAAAAATATCTTTTGATTAATTGTTTACGTAAGTAAAGCCCACATAAAGGTCACATTGAAAGCTTCCGTGTTTTACCATGTTGTATAAAATAACGAGACAAACTGGACTAGCTGCTTCTCAATACCACAGGCCACATTTCAAACATTAGCAGATTGGCTTGCTTTTTTTATATAAAATGGCAAAAATGCAATCAATCAACGTGACCCTATTCACTCATTTTTGAACTAATGCTATCCAAAACTTCACTAATGTAAAGTACAAAGTATAAGCTTTAAAATGCGTAGTTGATATTGTATCCCGGTTTGTCACTTCCCTATATGCAGTCAAAATGAGGAAAAACTATAACTTTGCGAGGAATGTATTTTTAGCATGAAACATAATTATATAAAAACTTATTAAAATCTAAATTTAAAGGGGTAAGCATAGAAAACGGTTATATAAAATTGGTATTTTCAACAAAGTTTCACATTTTGAGTAGTTCTAGAACTTTGCGCAAGAAAGTATTCTTCTATCTTTTTAGGGGAAAAAGCAAGGTTTTTATTTATTTATTTTTTTTTTCATAGTTGGCATGATAAATTTTTGAAATTGTAGAATTGTGAGCAATACTTATGTGAAAAATTCCTCTGAAAACACTTTTTTGAATAAGTAAATAGTTCATACACAATTCAAATGAGTTCGTGATTTTGCCATCTCCGACCACTGTGCAAAAGTGCCAAGCGTTAATTAAATTTTCCAAAACACACCGCAGCAACTGTGGCACATATCAGTGGTGTAGCATTGCTGGCGCTGCACTACAGGAGTGCACAATTACACGCCGAGCAAAAGTTTAACACCTGGTCGAAAACCAGTGCCAGTTTGTGGTGAAAGTTTCTGGCATTCGGCGACATTTGTCCTATACCCCACTGACTGCAGTCACACTCGATTGAAACTTTACCCACATATTTCCGTTTGATGCCGCAGCGGGGATGCGAGGGTGTTTGTAATTACCATTATAGGTAATTTATGGAAATTTATGGTTACTAACTCAATAAATATTGCACTGATCTGCAGCTACGTTTTGAGGTCTGGAGAGCCTCAAATATTGCTCAACACCGATCTTCAAAAGTGATACTATTCGGTATTATAACCATCAGCGGAGAGCTTAAAGCTGGTGCTCTTCTGAATGTTATAGGGGAAGTGCACCATCATTGGCCATAGGTTCCTATTTTGGCCACACCTCAGAAAACCAATTAAATAACAATAATTGTGCATTTTGTGGTCGAAATGTTGATGTACACCGATGAATATGATTTGTAACAACAAACTGAACAACTCAAAATTGTAAACAAAGTGAAATATTGTCAAAAGGTGGCCAAAATAGGAACATGGCCAATGCTGGTGCGTTTCCCCTAGTTAAATGATAAAACTTTTTTTTTAATCTGGGTCCACCATTTGCTTGCCAAAAGAGCGTGCGAGCTTAGCTTGGATTGCAAATTTGCCATAAATCATTGGCAACTGGTGAGAATCCTAACCTAACGACACATCCGGGACGGCCGGAGGATGTAAAATTTGCATATAATTCAATTTTTACACTCCCATACTGTATCGTCGGTTTGCGGCTTAATTATACCGCACGCACACTCCGAACTGCATTCACCGAGCATCATCACTTTGTCCTTCCTCATCCCCAGCTGGACCCGAACAGGCTTTATAATTATGACACCAATGTAGCTAGTCACAGCACACGGCACACGGACACCACTGAAATTACTGACCGAAACCATTACGACAACTTCGACGATGGTTGGGGCTGTGTGCGGATCATAACTCAACCACAAGCCCATTTCCATACTCTTTGCAATCTCGTACCGGGCTCTCTTTATCATTATGTAGTTCACCGCAGGGCAGGCAAAAATGCTAACTCCCAGTTCCTCCCCAACCCTTACAGGCAGTCATGAATCGCGGACGAGCAGCCGAGCGTTCCGCAATAACGGTGTACGGCCGCGGTGTGGAAAGAAAGAAGAATTATACTCTCACTGGGCGATGCTAATGACGCGTGTGGTTTTTGCGGTCCAAAGGATCTTAATTGCACAACATGCCTAATTATCATTCATAAACACTAAACGACGCTCCATTAATTAGCCACCATATATTAAACCACGCAATGGAAGAAGGCACCGTAAAGCGAAGTAGGCAAACTCGTTCCAAATCCCACACTACATTATGCTACCTTTCCTAAAATTGTATATTGCACAATTTTAACAACAGCAAATAAATCACCAACCCTCATCTTCTAACGCCTGTATTTTTCCTTTCATCTTTTTGCAGCTCCCAGTATTCGATACAAGATCACAAGCGGTAACGTAGGCGATGTGTTTGCGATACACAATACAACCGGAGCTCTGTACGTAGCGAAAGCACTGGATTATGAGAAAAATAAAAAGGTACGTTCACTGAGGCATGACTTTTAAGTCTCCACCCGGAGACTCATCAGTCGTTGCGCAGGATCAAAAAAACTTTTACGAAAACGATACCAACTGGTAAACAAACCCTCATGCCACGAAAGCATATTGTAATATGTACGATAATGTTAAATATATTATATGACGTCTCTTTCAGGATTATGTCACTGCTAAGGTTATTGGAGATGAACTGAATAGCCTAGAGGCCATTCAATAATCGCGCAGGCACTTTTAATGGAATTTTTAAGCTATAATAACCTTTAAAAAATCTTCCCCATCCCTACCTTGTAAGATATTTTATCAAAATTCTAAATGATTTGTAAATTACTTGTTCATGCTGTCGCAAAATATGTCCGAGACCCCCTCACGCTATATATTTTTTTTTCACATGAAGTTAGTATTGATCCTAACAATCGAATCTGTGAAGGTTTTAAAACATTTCATCTTGAGTTTTTTGAGAAAATGTGTTCTGAAGTATACTTAGTTTATGAAGGCGTATGTGGACTATTGACGATACAAAACTGTTACGGATCGACATAAATTCAGCCGAAAATGATTGTTGGAGATTGAAGTAGTCAAAATACTACGTTTCAATGCTACAATAAGATTCCCTCTTGGGTACCGTAAGATATCGTAACTTTTTCATTATCTATTAATGGTTTAGTCTCTAAATTTACTATTATTTTCAATTCCATCTATTTCATCCATTCTTATCAATTCTTACATAGATATCTAAAGAGAATAATAAAAAAAATTGGTGCTGCCAAGAAAAGGAGATTCCATTAAATGAGCACTATTATATGATTCCACCACTTTGAACAAATTTTTGTCGTATCAGACATTAATTTTCCACTGCATTATAGCTACTCCATGTTTGGGAAAAATAATTATGAACAGCTTTGCTTGTTTTTTCCGTGAATCAGGAAAACATCTTTTATGTGATATTTTACAATATGGAATATCGGGGCTACCGGTAGGTTTCGGTAGACCAACTTTCACAAAAAAGACCTATGCACTCATCCATGAGTTCGCAACGAAAACAATGTCGCATCATAGCATCCATATTGTCCACATCCTTTAGCTGATGATCAAAATTGCATCCTTCTAAAACTACACATTTATCGAGCAATGGCGTTTATCAAGAACCTACAATGGTGACTAACGAATCCGTATTGCGCATGCCGAGTCGCATTTGTCTTTCCTCATAGCTGATTTGAGGCCGGGCTGGATAGTTTGACGGCCAGTATGTTTCATAATTCATAATTCATAATTATAACAAAAGTACGGTGTAAAGTTACGTAAAATATTAAATTATAAAGATAACTAACTTATTAACACTCAGATTAAGATCTTTCTTAAAGCTGAGTAAATCTTCGTGAAAAATTTAGATTATTTTTTTTTAACTGTTTCAAATTTAAACCACGATATTTTTTAGGTGGCGAACTCTCATTTTAATGCCCATCCACCTTACTCATGCCATCGATCACAATTCATAACGGAAGCGTAATAGAGAAATAGATATCGCAACAAATTCTCTCTATCATACCTGTTTTATAACACATGAAGTGGAAGTTGTTCCACCAACGGCCCGATGAGATAGCTTATAGAAGAAACATTCAAATTCAAACCCATAAGTTTTTAACGTAGGACTACGTCTTTGATTTCTATATCGTGGTACACTTTGTGAAAACCGAAAATGGAACATGTAACAAATTAAGAAAGATTTTGAACGTTAACAACTCAGCTTCCCCTGGTCCAATTTCAATAATTTTATCACCAATCGATCAGAAATATGGCTATGATAACAATGCTTCCGAATGTTGATTTTCAACAAGAAATTATTGAAAAACTGGTAAATGTTCAGCATTGTCCAAAAGCGTTGAATTAACTAACAAATCCACCAATTACCTACATGCATATTCTGCTTCCCCAGCACAGTCGTCAGAGAATAGTAAGTAGACGAAACAACTCGAAGTGGCATTCGCCTCCGATCCTCGGGCGCGTGCGAATAGGAAGGATGGAATTGCGTAATATTTTACACACTCATCGCCATGTTCAAAACCAAACGCAAATTCTTCGAGATAACCACCATCCGTCGTCTGGCTCACCGTGGCGGTGTCTGACGTATCTCCGGTTTGATTTACGAGGTGTGCTGAAGGTGTTCCTGAAAAATGAGATCTGTGATGCTGTCACCTACACTAAACACGCCAAGCGTAAGCGGCCATGGATGTTATCTACGTTTTTGAAATGACAGAGACGCACTCTGTTTGGTTTCAGAGGTTAAATCATCACCAACATTGGAAACAAAACGGCTCTTTTCAGGGCCACCAAGCTTATTACAGTAAAGAGTAGGAATAGAATTCATCTGCTTGTTTGTCCATATTCAGAACCACCGACCACACAAAATGCTCCTGTAATCAAACTGGAAGCAGGGATACAAATTGTTTTGATCAACCTTGATCAACTTTGAATAGCCACGGCCGGATATTTTCGATGGAAGAAGCAACAATCTAGCATCTAATTCGACGAAGACGGCAGGAACCATTTGTGAAGTAGAGTTATTTACGAAAGAGAGTGTCGATGAAGAGAATCGATCAATGTAGATAGGACCTATTGAAAAGTGACGCGAGATTTGTTTTCCGTACTGAGCTCCAATGCTACCGACGCCAGGGAGGCAGCTCCCAGAGATGTTATGCCTTAGAACATGCCGATGGCGCCGACTGAGATTGTAATCAGGCCTGCTGGGGTGAGAGGTAATCACGCTAACCACCGGCGCCGATATCTATCACGGCGAATGAGAACGACCCAAATTTGAGTTTAGTTATCTCAGAAATAAGTGCAGGAACTCAGCGATGAGTAAATATTCTTCATGTTTTCCCAGGTTTTTCCAGGATTTTCCAGGGAAAAATTCCCGAATTTGAGAAAAGTAAAGATTGGATTCACTCAGTCTATTGGTACTACTTCGAGACTGAATAAAATTTTCGTCAATTTCCTCATTTTCTGGCAGATTTTTTAGGTTTTCCACAGGAAATCATAAGACAAATTTACTCATCGCTGAGTTCCTACACTTTTGGCGATTATGAGTGAACTAAACTCAAATTTGGGGCGTTCTCATTCGCCGTGTACGCAAAAAGAATATAACCAGTGTCGCTACTTGATAGCAAACTACTCATAATGGGAGGAGTCTTTGTAGCTTTTATACCACTTGGTTGCACATCATTCTGCTTTAACCTAAAAAGATATAAAGCAGCGCTGCCAGCCCAGAAGAAGCAGAAGAAAACCCCATTGCCCATCCTGACAGGCGTTGCGGACCCGCAGCCGGGGCCTCCCGGAACTAAACGACCCAGACCTGAAGACAGCAGCGCCACCGTATCAGCAGCAAAAAAGCTGCTGAGCAACAATCCGTTCTCCGCCCTGCAGAACGGAGCCCAGCCACAGTCGGACCCTGAGACGGTGCCGAAAAAAGTTAAGTTGCCACCCTTCTATGTGAAGGGCTTCCCTCCCGGGCTATGGGAGCAGCTGGATTTCTACATTAAGCAGGGCCTTCGCTGCACCATTCAACGGTGCACGGAAGGCTACAAACTGATGGTCCCGGCCGAAAAACACTTCAACGCAGTTCAGGCCCTCTTGGACAGAATGAAGCTGGAGTACTTCTCCCACGACATCGAGGCCACCAAGCCGCTGAAAGTGGTGCTGCGCGGGCTCCACGACATGGACACCACCACCTTAATGGACGAGATTAAGGCGAACGGCCTCAAGCCGGTCGAAGTCCACAAGATGACCCGCAGCAAGGCCATCAAGTATCGTGACCAGCTCTACCTGGTCCATCTGGAGAAGAACTCCACAACCGTGAAGGATCTCCAGACGACACGCACACTGTTCCACATCGTAGTGAAGTGGGAGCGGTATAAACCCACCCACCGTGGCGTCACTCAGTGCTCGAACTGCCTATTGTTCGGGCACGGCACCAGGAATTGCCGCATGGCCAGCCGCTGCATCAAATGCGGCAAAAACCACAAGATCGACAACTGCGACAGCATCGAGGAAGCCACTCCCACATGCGCCAACTGCGGTGCCGCCCACAAGGCCACGAGTAAGGCCTGTCCGAAGCGGGCCGAATACGCCGAGATCCGGAAGAAGGCCTCGTCCAACAGCCAGCCCGGTCGCAAGAAGGTTCCAGAAAACAACGCGCAGAACTTTCCTCCGTTATCACCGGTCCAATCACGGCCAATTCCAGTGTTGCCGCCGCTCCCGCTCAACCAACAGTTGGCTGCCGCTGCAGTACCCGGTCAAGCCTCCGGGCCATCGACGGATCCCCCTGCTCCGGGATTGGCCGGTACAACCGGTGAAGCTACAGACGATTCTCCGCTGTCAACGGATGAGATCGTCACACTGTTGGCCCAGGCCATCATCATCAAGCGCACCTGCGCAACAAGAACACAACAGCTCCAAGCTATCATCTCCTTCGTCGCTAATTATGAACCGTGAACCCATAAAGATCGCCAACTGGAACGCTCGCTCCGTAGGGGCGAAAAACATTGAGCTTGCAGACTTCCTCCGCAAGCACGACATCGACGTGGGCCTTCTCACCGAGACCCACCTCAAGACCGGTGACAGCTTCTGGCTGCCCGACCACAGCATTGTCCGGCTTGATCGCACCAGCTCCAGGGGGGGCGGTGTCGCGGTCATCATCAAGAAAGGCATCAAGTACTGCACCCTACCCCACTACCGCACTTCCATCATCGAGGCCGTCGGCGTTGAGGTGGAAACATCGACCGGAAACGTCCGGTTCATCGTTGTCTACTGCCCCCGGCAATGTACCGTTAGCAATGGTACAGCACAGCAGTTCAAGAACGACCTTGCCATCATAACCCACACCAATGCCCGTTTTGTAATCGGAGGGGACCTGAACGCCCGGCACGAGGCCTGGCGGAACTACCAGCAGAACCAGAACGGCCGCCTGCTATTCGACCATTCCCAGC